GGCGCGCCGAGCGGCCACCCCCGCCCCCCCCCCGTGCGCGGCTGCACGTGGCGCAGCACAACCCCTTCCAGCAGGCTGGGATCCGCGCGCTGGGGAAAGGGGTGCTAAGATCTGTGTAGGCAGAGCTGCCCCAGCCCAGGAGCTGCCCCAGAGCAGGAAATCTCAGCCTCGTGCTAGCTTCAAGGCAGCTGTGGGTGGTACCGCTGCATTCGCTTCTTTCTCAACAGTGCAGCCCTGTGCAGCCCTGTCTCGTCTCGGGGGGATTTTGGGTTTTTTTGAGTAGGACGCACAAAAAAAAAAAAAAAAAAGAGTGAAAGTCCGGAATTCTTGCCTCAGCTTCCTGCAGATCTGGAGATATTTTTAGGTGGTTGTTGATTTTTGGTTCGCTTGCTTTGCTACTGCTTCTGTTTTTCGTAAAAATCAGCCTCACTTTGCTGTTAACAGCAGGAGTTTTTACTTCAGCAGTGAGGCAGCGCTTGGGTTTTCCAGGGCACTAAGTGTGTAGACATGGCCTTCAGGGCCTCGAGGTGACTTACACAACCTTGCTTAACACATAACCATCTTAAAACCAGAGGCCACCCAGCATGTTTACACTGTCCAATGCCCAAGCACCACTGCTGGGCGTGCAGAGCTGGTGGGTTTAGTTATACGTACTGCGTATATACTATGGAGGATATATCCAGTGCTGAGGAAGCCATTGCACATAATGTGATATAATGCTCTTTTAGGTAGTGAGAAAATAAGAAAACTACAGTTTCGTTTTGCTTCCAATAAATCAGGTAATATTCTCTGAAGGTATAAGCTAGCATTTGGGTTGTTCATATACCACAGTGCCCCAGTGAGCAGAAAATGGGAGATATGCTGTTTTTAACAAATAGGCTATTTTATCTCTTCCCATAAAACAGACAGGTTCTCCCCAACATACTGTTGCTTTTTCTGTGTATTTATTATTATAATTGATCTATATACAAAAAAAGAAAAAAAAAAAAAAACACAGTTGTTAGCGCTAAAAAAAGCTTCAGGCCTCAAACACCTTGGGTTTCTATCTAAGCCAAAACTCCACTTTTCACTGATTTAAACTTGCACACAGTGCAATTCTGACTTCTTCAGGACCAAGGCAGGGGTTGGAGCACAACAGGCTTCCTATAGAAAGCAGGAGCTGGTTAAAACTTGCCCCAGGGGATGCACAAAACATGCAAGAGCCTCTGTCCCTGCGGTGCTGTTGTGCAGGGGAACAAGGAGCCAGGTAAAGCTGGGCTCTGCAGCAGGGAGGGTTTCTCGCCCAGAGCGCCAGCTTATGGGAATAACCACTGCAGTTCAGGAGCTGACACCACTCAGAGGTGCCTTCGGGCAAGGGCTGCTGTGAACAAGTTGTCATGCTCAGTCAGGGTGTTCTGTCGGTGGCTTCAGCGAGCAGACAGCTTGAGCCTGGCCCAACATCTGATGCTGCTCAGAAACTAAACCCGCGCCTGGGCTCCTCAGCAACAGGCGCTGTGTTTTACAAGGCACCGTCTCCAGCCAGCTCGCCCCCCTTGCCAGCACCTCACTGAGTTTCTGCAGGCACTGCAGGGCCTTTTCCAGAGGGCTATCCCAGGCTCCTGCGTTTGGGATGCTGCGTGGAGAGGGAGGTGCAGGCACTTGTTCCTTGGGGATGGAAGGTGGGCAAAGTGATCCTTCTCCCTAAGGGGCTCTCTGGGCAACAGCTTCGTGAGCAGCAGCTCTGTAGGGTCCCCTCTTTAAGGGGGGGGCAGCTACGTAAAGTTTCAGCAAAAGAAAATACATATATATATACACACGTCAAGCTAATCTGGGGGGTTGTGGTAATGAAGCACACCTTAGCAGGTGGCTCACGCTCACCTTGATGCATCTCCATGAAGGAGATTGATTCAGCAGTAAGACATCACAAGGTAGAGGAGGCATGCCTGTCGCTCCTGTTCTTTTTTCCCCTTCCTGGTACAAGCACAGCAGTGCCTTTAAGCTACCCACACGCTTTCCCCACGGATCCCGTTACGTTACGTGTAGGGGCTCGCAGCATGACAGCGCTGCGGGCTCACCTGGCCGTGGGCAGCTGCCAGTGCTGCACGCTGGGGGCCAAGACA